TATGCTCAATTAATATTTGACAAAGGAGGCATGAACATACAATGGAGTCAAGACAGTCTCTTCAATAAATGGTGTTGGGAAAATTGGACAGATACATGCAAAAAAAATGAAACTAGACCACCAACTTATACCATACACAAAAATAAACTGAAAATTTCTAAATGACTTAAACATAAGATGGGAAACCATAAAAATACTAGAGGAATCCACAGGCAGCAAAATCTCATTCATAAGCCGAAGCAATTTCTTCACTGATACTGCTCCTAGAGCAATGGAAACTAAAGAGAAAATTAAAAAAAATGGGACTACATCAAAATAAAAAGCTTTTGCACAGCAAAAGAAACCATCAATAAGCCATTTACATTTAAAGTTATTATTGATAGGTACAAATTTGTTATTTTATTCTTTATAACTATGATATTTTTTTTCTTTTTCTTCATTTCAGATATTGTATTCTTCATTTCTGACTGGTTCTTAGTTATGGTTTCTATGTCTTTTTTATGCTGTTGTAGTTCTCACTAAGTTTTTGAGCATCCTTTTAACCATTTTTTAAAAAATTCTATATCTGATAAATTGGTTGCCTTTATTGCATTTAGCTCTTTATCTGGAGATATTTCCTTTTCCTTCATTTGGGGGATGTTTCTTTGTTTCCTGAGTTTGGCTGCTTCTTTGTGTTTGTTTTTATGTATTAGTTAGATCTGCTATGTATCCCGGACTTATTTAGTAGGTGTCCTGTGGGACCCAGTGGTGCAGTCTTCTTGATCACTTTAGCTGGGTCCCCCAGGAATGTCCATATGTGAGTTACGTGAGCCCTCTTATTATAATTGAGTCTTGATTGCTGTTGGCTCATTTGTGCATGGGATCGACCCTCATGTAAGGTGACTGTGAGGATTGACCATGACCACAGTGTAAAAGCTGCTATATAGGTTCTGACTATATGAAGCAGAATTTGCCTCAGCTGGATTTGGTGCCTGCTAAGATCTCCCTTTGTATATGCCAGTTGTGAAGGTAATTGGACCCTGCCCTGATTTTGTCAGAAGCTGGCCACTGGGTGTATATGTTCAGGGCCTTTCGGAGGGACTCTGTGAAAGTCAATATCATACATAGCCTCTGACTGGCCCTGGGCAGCCTGTTTGGAGCTACAAAGCGATCCACAGCTTATGACTGCCTCTGCTGGGCCCTGTTTTGTAGAAAGTGCCAAGCTGTGCGCCAAGAAAAGGCTTCCACTAGCACCAAGTCTAAAGGCAGGTCAGCAAAAGATGGAAGATCCGCTTACCCCTGCCAGCTTCCCAGGCACTGAAAGAGTCTCTGGTGATACTCAAGTTGCATGAGGTAGGGGAGAGTTGTGCTCACCAGATTTATATATGTTCAAACTCAGTGCCAATGCTGGGTCTGAGCTAGCTCAGCAAATGTCCCAGAGTATACCAATTCTAGCTGCCCCCTGTTGGGTGCCTATAGACCTTAGTGTTAGGGTAGGGTCTCAGGGAGTCATCAGGATGAGGCCAGCAGAGTTTATTAGGCCCAAGCAATCAATATTAGGCTGTGTGAATGAAAGGCTTTCATCAGTTGGGCATGCTAGGAATAAATGGCCCCATCTGAGAACCATAAAACTCAATCTCCCATATTCTGCCAATTCCCCTGCTCAGCAGGGTGGGACTGCCAGGAGTCTGGAGGGTGGGGCTAGTGGATCTCCAATAAGAGAGAGGTGTCAGTCAGGTTGGAAAAAATGGGGTGAGAGGCCCTTACTCTAGAGCCACACAACTCAGTCTGTCTTGGATTCTGCCCATACTCCTTGACAGGGCAGGGCCACTAGGAGTCAGAAGAGTGGGGCCAATGGCAGTTCAGAGGGTGGGACTAGTGTATCTCCTGTGAGGGGGAAACACTGGTCAGTTTCACGGGAATGGTGGGGAAAATGGCCCTCACCCCAAAGCCACACAACTCAGTCACTGGCACTCCCTGAGTTTGCTTGGACCTATACATCCCAGCCCAGGCAGCTTACTCTACAGCAGGGCATGATGTCTACAGTGTAGGGCAATGGGATTCCAGAAGGTAAGACTATTGCATTCTCCCAAGCTAATGCCATAAGGAAAGTAGTGCTCCACTCAAGAAAAATGACATCTGAGGTGTGGAAGAGGGACTTAGTAAAGGGACCCTGGTAACTATCCCTTCAGCTCTCTCCCCAGAGGCACAAGCCCAGTCTTTCCTCACATTACTCTAGTCTGCTCCAACCTACATTTGCCATAGTCCAGGCTGAGTGGCTGCTAAGGAGATTTTTGTGCTTGGCCTTTAAGAGGGTTCTTGTGTCTCTAGCAGACTTCTGTCTCTCTCTGGTGAACAGAATCCCATTGATTTTCACATTAGGATGTTATGTGGGATCCTTTTCCTGGCTATGATGCTTTGGGCAGGGAAGTCCAGTATGGGGTTGAGACCCCACACTCCTCAGGAGGAATCTTTGCAGCTGATTTATCCCTCTGGAATCTCAGTCACTTCCCATGGGACCCTTATCACATCTCTGCCCTTCCTACCAATAGCAATGTGGCTTCTTCTGTAAATCCTTGGTTATAAAACTTCTCTTCAGCTAGTCTTCAGTAGGTTATTCAGGTTGCTTGTTCTATATTTTAGTTTTAATTCCAGTTTGGTCCTGGGAGGAGGTGAATGTACCTTTCATCTACCCTGCCACCATCTTGGATTTCTATGTAATTTTTCTATAAACTTTAAACTGTTCTAAAAATTGTCTGTTAAATATAAAAATACATAGCTATAAAATTAACTGACAAAAGTAAAGTTAAAAACAATAAACCATTGTGTAGTTCTAGAAATCTCAAAATTTAGCAACTATATACATCAAGTCTTTTATATGAAGTTCAAATAAAAGTACTAGTGACTCCTTTGCAAAGCTCAGGTAATTAAGAAAAAGTGATGGTCTAATTTGTGATTGTAATAACCAAGATATACAGACATTAGGTTTCACAGAAAAATTACTGTGTTATATTTCTGGTATGTCTAAAGTGTATATCATTGCTAAGAAAAATGTAGAATTTCAACATATACTTATGTAAATGAGCTACAATTAATTAATTTCTTACACTTTTTAAAAAAATATATTTTATTGATTTTTTACAGAGAGGAAGGGAGAGAGATAGAGAGTTAGAAACATCGATGAGAGAGAAACATCGATCAGCTGCCTCCTGCACACCCCCTACTGGGGATGTGCCTGCAACCCAGGTACATACCCTTGACCGGAATCAAACCTGGGACCTTTCAGTCCACAGGTCGA